CCTTGGTGTTTCAGCCACACGTATTTTCAGCATCTTGCGAATTTACCGAAGACGAAGGTCATTTACAAAATTGTGACAATGAGCCTGACTGCGTGGGTAATACTTTTGTTGCGATTCACGACTTATGTCACAACAATCCAACGAAAACTACTTTGACCAATTGATGTCGGTGGAGCGGTACATTTGCATAAACACAAAAGGCACTGTCATACATATCATGTGACGGCGAATGTATTATTCAAATGTCTTTTGTATAGCTACCAGTTGGGGTTAAAGGCAATATGTTCATGGTTCGAACCCGACTTGGCCATCTTTTTCCACATTTCCAAATTTATACTTAGCCAAGCTCTCAGTGCACTAAAAAGTGTGCAATACGCGTGCACCAAACGTGAAGTTGTCCTAGTAGTTTTATACATATCACATAACATGACAATTGTAACGCTGTGATAATAAGAAACGACGTACGTTGGGTTCGAACTCGGAGCTCCCATATAGTCGATCTGACAGACACGTGTGTTTGATCATGAATATTCATAAGTTGATCATTATGCAGATCATTATACGGCCTTAATTTCAGTATACAAATTGCATGATAACAATGACAACAAATTACGAAAGTTCAACACGCACGCCTGCGGCCTCGTTTTTTTATCTTAGGTCTAACTTTATACCCCGAAAAAGTCCTCGTGTTCGAGTTGCTATACTAAGCACACGGCAACAATTGATCACATGGCTAAGAATGGTATACAAATAATAAATAAATGATTAACTTACAGATTTCAAATCGCTCATGACGTCCTTTGTCAAATTGAATCGATTGGGATTTAGTGAACTGATAGCAACTATTGTGCCCTGTAAACGAAGTTGAGAAATTGTTTTATTAAATTGTAGCAGATATTTACAATGTTTGCAGATGTTTACAATAAATCTATTTCTCACACGCAGCATCTACATATTGATCTATCACGTCAAGCTGATGGGCGTAAACAGTAATAAGAGATTACAAACCTTGTAAGTTCCGATTTGAGCGAATAGTTGATTTTGTTTGGCTGCGAAACTGGCAAATGAATTCATACCACTAACAGTTGTACGACTGTCCTAATTGCAAAAAAATAAATGGGAATGTATTACGCAATCATGCAGTCACCAGACCAACCGAATAGTTGTTCTATCTTTTCTGGAAATGGTTGTTTTTTTAGTTTCCGACACGTGGTTATCATGATTTTTAACAAAAAGCTACGTAGTTACAATACACGGCCCTCTTCCGTCTCCCAAGAAAGTTTGCCTAAACACAGTGCATCGTGGGTGATCGCAACGTATTTGATAATATACGACTCTTAGAAGTACCGATATTTGAACAAAGACCTCGGTATACGTGTTTTAGATTGTATAGTGAAAACCTCATACTTTGCCTAAAAGTTTATTCCGCGAATTCAGTCCCGCTACTCTGCCGAATCTTATCCCCGATGAATGCGAAAAACTCCGAGGCAAGCCGATGTGTATGTCTTCATATTTCACTTTCCACAACATGTTAGCGATGTCTCTTTCCCGCTTCTTTTTCCTATTAACAACAACAACGATAATCCGTCACTTTGCGCTATTTGTGGGGGCATCGTTGTGAAGAAAGTCTATTTAGAGCTATTTACTATTGGTAAAAAGTGCGAACAAGGAGCGGGAAACTCTATCGTCATCGTGTGAGAAGTGCCAGTTCCCGCTCTAGGCTGACACTATGTACACATGGTGTATAAGAACCTTGCAGTTTATGCAATTGCAAATAAATGTGTACGTTCTTGGCAGACAAATCACACTTATTAGCACTTTTTAAGTACATGGTAGTAATTCCATCAAAAATGTAATGAAGATTTGTTATTCTCACTTGTATGAATATATTGTTCAGAGTAACCACTACAATAAAAGTCAATGATTCAAATCAAATCCAAAAACAATGAATAATAAAAAGAAATGTTTACTCGAATGTGTTGAAATGTATTTACTCAATAAGTACTATAAGCTTTCATGTTATTAAACGTGAGATAACTTCAAACAGTTGGAATCTGGCGCAATTTTGTATTATCGTAGCGATTATCAAGATATAGGAGGAGAGAAAACTACAACAACGTCGACGGTAAAGTTATGCTCCTCGTACCTCAAAAGATAACATTTGCGTTTGAAAAAGAATATAATATAATAAAATAAAATAAAATGCTTTATATTCTTATATTACCCATAGATGCAGCATATAATGATAACTAAAACAGCAACGGTTACTGTTGGTATAACTAAAGAAACTGTTAGAATAGTTGGGTCGTCTGTAAATAAATACAAGTAGTGAATATTAGCATATAAAAATGGCGGATAGTAAGGGCGGCCACAGAGGGCCAAGTTACGAAAGAAAGCGCTTTCAGTGGGTCGTTCCTTTGCGACACTAAAACACCCACAAAAGCTATCGCGTTGTGTCACATTTCTAAGAGTTCTAGAATAGTTTTCCCTATGAAAACTATGTTTGTTACTTGCAAACATGTTGTGTTAACTCCAATGCATACTTGGGGAGTATTTAGTTATTATATAACAATGAACTTGAAACAAGAACGACAAAATGGCGGATAATCATTACGTATTTGGAAAAAATACCAAGCGACACGGAAACCCACAGTCATTTGATTTGAACCCAAATAATTAATTGGCTATTTCAGAGTATTTTTATTATCAATGCTGTAAGCGGTTTTTTTTTCTAAAAAAAAGATCCTGTAATAGACACCACTACATACATGGACATCCGTTAAATCCACATTCGGGCACTGCCGGTGGCGCGGTTGTTGTACCGTCCGGCCAGATGATTGGATTATTGGGATTTTCCACGAAAAGCTGCAAAGAGTCACACAAATATAATACTAGTAAATGTTATGATAATGAATACTTCGAGTATAGTAAATATATGCATCTGAAGTGTATTGCTTTAAAATCACAAGTAAATGTGACAAAACACACAAGAACAAAAAGGAACATTGAGTATTTACTGTACTGTATATACCTCTTCAACATTGAACTCTATCGCCACACTTCTGTATTGGTTATTTTGGATGTGGAATAAATAAAAGTCTGGATTCCGATTGACATTGGAATTCATAGCTACACGACCTGTGATACCTCCTGAAATTAAAGCGAAACACAATATAAATGTCGCTTTTAAAAGATACCTGGTTAATATTGTAGTGTTTATGGACCTCCCGTCTGTACAATATATATAGTATCGTTATGGCAACC